TCTTGCGCAGCCTTGCGGCTTTTGCCGTCTCCTCGATCTCAGTATAGAATATTTGCCAGCAGGCCCTTTTCGCTCTCCTAGTTTATTTTTTGTATAGGGCAAGGCTGGTCTTGTAGTTTGCCCATAGTACCTCATCGTTGCTGTTTTTGTCTTTATTAAAATGTGCCCTGCTTATACGTAGGACATCAATGTTCTTAGACCACCAAGGGGGTTTCTTTTTCCCTCTCGGTTTTATTGAGGGACACGCAGCCTTGAAGGCTTTGTTGCATACCTCCGTGAACCTATTTACAAGACTGTTAAGGTCGTCTTGTGTATCAGGGCATGTTGGTGCTGTTGGGGAAAGAAGTTATTCCAGGGTTTTGGAATATATCTCCCAGTTGGCTTTCCTGGGGTTGGTATAACTATTAGCTATTGGGCACTCGAGAGATATTATCGTCTCTATGTACCTATGGTCGGAGAAAGAGTGCTCTTCTAGGACTCTCCAGCCCTTAATTACCCCAGTATGCTATGGGACACTAGGGTAAGGTCTATGACCTCCTGTCGGTTCTTTATAATGAAGGTAGGGTAATTTCCCTGATTACATAGTAGGCCTGTGTTTGACCTCTCGCTGTCGCTGGCAATCCTGCGGACAAGGTCGCTGGGAGGGTCACTGTGGTCGTGAGCCATGTAGAACGACACCACTCTGAGGTGTGTCCCTTGCAGCTCTAGGCTAGCTGCTGTGTTGTTCCCATCGCTAAAATTGTGGAGCAGAAAGATGTTTATGTGCTTTCTAGCTAAATCGCAGGTACGAATTTTACCCGCCTTTTCTGCTACAATCAGCTTGTAGTCCTTCTTCGCTAATCCACATACCTTGTCTCCAACTACCCAAGGCTCCTGGATTAGGACTAAGTCGCCTCCGCTCGATTCCAAGGGGAGTAGGAGGGCAGCAGTTGCTGCTTTACAGTGGTGGAGATTTATTTGAATAAGCCTCAGAGGGATCCTTACATATCTCCACCACTGTATTGTCGGCGTCCGACTCGCCGGAGCTCTCATTTCGGCACATTGCCTCGAATTCGAGCATCAGCTCCGACTCTAGAGAGTCACGTTCGTGGGCTAAATCCGGCTCGTTGTCGGGTGCTTCGATCTCGAAGGCAACATCCTGCTCGACTGGGTTGTCGACATCCGCTGCATCCGACTTATACACCTTTATGGTGACGGAGCTGAACCAGAAGTTGAGCTGCCTTTATCGGGACCAGCGACTCCATGTATATTACGACCACGGCTTGGTTAGTGGGGCCCTGTGTCGCTTCAACTTTAACAACCTTACAATCTGCTGTTGG